GGCGGGGAGGGGTCCTGGTTTTCCAGGGGGCGCTTCCTGTCTTCGTAATGAGGAGTCCTGGGAGCAGGTGATGAAACCGCAGCCCGGGTTGCGTGAGGCCGCGTGTCCCGCGGGCCTGGCTCCCACCTGCCTCTCACTTCTGCTTTCTCTGCTCGCGCTGGGCTGTGGGTCCCTGTGCAGCCCGGTGGCCCATCGTGGGGAACAAGCAGGAGGCTGGACGTGGCCTGGCACTCAACATCCTGAGGTCCAAAGTTGGCTTCTGGGAAGGAAAGACAAATTGAAAGCCCCGGGTGGGAGGAGTGTTTCTAACCAGTTTTCATTTATGGGGGGGAGAGGGGGAACCGAGGCCTCATTTGGGTAAGAGGCTAAAGGTTACTGGAAGGTGGGATCCCTCCTAGTCACCCTCGTTTCAATCACCTAGGGACCCAGAGGCGTCACCAACCTAGGGAGGTGATAGTTTGTGGCTTGTAAGACCTTCAGGAGAGTTTGTTGATTGCCTTTCTTCTTTTTTTTCTTTTTTCTTTTTTCGAGACGGTTTCTCTGTGTAGCCCTGCCTGTCCTGGGTCTCGCTCTGTAGCCCAGGCTGGCCTCGAACTCACAAAGATCCGCCTGCCTCTGCATCCCCAGTGCTGGGATTAAAGGCGTGCGCCAACACCGCCCAGCCTGTTGATTGACTTTCTAACCACAAATCCCACCAGACAGAAGGTCTGAGAGAGATGGGGGGGCGCTAATAAAAAATTACATTCATAGCCAGGTGTGGTGCCACACCCCTTTAATCCCATCGGGAAGGAGGCAGAGGCAGGTAGACCTCAGTCCTGGCCAGCCTGGTTTACGTAATGAGTTCCAAGAGAGTCAGGGCTACATAATGAGACCCTGCCTTTAAAACAAAAAATTAACAATTGTTAATTTATCCGTGTGTGTGTGTGTGTGTGTGTGTGTGTGTGTGTGTGTGTGTGTGCATGCCTCAAGCAGTGTGTGGCGTTCAGAAGACAGTTTTCTGGAGTGGGTTCTGTCCTTCCACTGTTGGATCCTACGGTCTGTCTCAGTGCCTCAGGTTCAGCACTGAGTGAGCTGGTCCATCCGCTGGACGACCTCAGGTCTCCTGACTCTGCAGGACAGCAGCGGGCCTACCCCCTTGCCTCCCTTCGGGATCTTTGCACTGGTTCCACTGGAAACAGTCCTCCTGCCTGTCATAGATGCTGTGATTTCCGCAGCAACCCTGTGCTCAGACCTGAGACTCTGGCTCTTGGACCACCCAGGCCATGTGTGTCACCCACATTCCAGCCCCCAGTGTCCCCATCAGTCCTCCTCAGCACGGCTACAGACCCTCTTCTCACTGTGCACAGTACTTCTTCCTCCAGGACCCAGCCCGCCTCTCCCTTTCACACTACTCTGCCCTGGGTGGACACAGTCCCTGTGATGGCCATGAGCCAGTGTGGGCATTTTAGGCTTTTTTTTTTTTTTTTGGTTTTTTTGGTTTTTTTGAGACAGGGTTTCTCTGTGTAGTTTTGCGCCTTTCCTGGGACTCACTTGGTAGCCCAGGCTGGCCTCGAACTCACAGAGATCCACCTGCCTCTGCCTCCCGAGTGCTGGGATTAAAGGCGTGCGCCACCACCGCCCGGCTATTTGTTTATTTTTGAGGCAGGGTCTCATGTAGCCCAGGCTGGCCTCCAAGTACCTATGTAGCCTTGGATGACCTTGGCCTCCTAATCCTCTGTCCTCTACCTTGCCAGTCCTGGATGACAGATATGCATCACTATGCCCTGCTGAATACTCCCTTCCTGGCTGGATAGACAACACTGTTCTCAGCTGCCTCCTTACGCCCCTTCCTCCCCACATTCCGATCACCCCGACATCTGGAGCAGAGGCACTCGGGTCAGTCTGTGGCTGGGTAATTTGCATGGAAGTACAGATAGGTCTGCCCAGCGCAGGCGGCCGCCTCCGCACTCCTCTTGGCCCTTCACACCTGGGCCGCACAGGTCTCCAGCCCGTGCTGAGTGAGTGGAGATTTGCATTCTCTCGTGTATTTCTGGGCAGGGTGTCCGCTGGGGAGGTCTAAGAGGAAGTGTGCAGGGAAGCTGGGGGAGGGGAGCTAGGGGGGTGTCTCATCTTTCTTTCTTGTGTGTTGTATGAAGGCCAGAGGTCAACATGGGGTGTCTCCCTCAGTCACTATACATCTCACTATGTGGCCCTGGCCAGTCTGAACTCACAGATATCTACCAGCCTCTACTTCCCAAGGCTGGAATTAAAGGCCTGGCTCCACCTTATTTGAGACAAGGTCTTTCACTAACCCTGGAGCTCAGATTCAGATTGGCCAGTAGGCCCCACCTCAACCTCCCCAGGGAAGATGGGGTGCACACTTGGTTCTTTATGTGGGTGCTGGAATTTCAATCAGGCCCCCATGACTGGGCAGAGCCCTAGCCTCCTGCCCACCCCCCTTAGCTGCTTACACCCTGACCCCAACCATCTGCTCCCCATGAGAGTCTGAATGTCATCCCAGCACTCTGGAGCACCACCACCCGGCTGGCACACGCTTTTAATCCCAGCACTGGGTAGGCCGAGGCAGTCGGATCTCTATGAGTTCAAAGCCAGCCTGGGTTACAGAGTGAGTTCCAGGAAAGGCTCCAAAGCTACAAAGAAACCCTGTCTCAAAAGACAAAAACAAACAAACAAACAAAAAATTAAATTAGGGGGTTGAAGAGATTTCTCAGGTTAAGAGCACTGGCTGCTCTTCTAGAGGACTTGGGTTCAATTCCCAGCACCTACGTGGCTGTTTACAGCTGTCTGTAACATCTGGCCTTCCTGGACACTAGGCATGCAGCCCTACATGCACAGACATTCGTGCAGAAAAGCACATACACATGAAATAATAAATTCATTTACAACGTTTTTATCACAGAGAAAACAAGTAAATACACCCAGCCAGGTACAGTTGGGTTGGGACTTGTGCCTCTCTAGGTGGAACACTTGCCTAGCACCTGTGGAGATCTGGGTTCCATCCCCAGCAGCATACAAAACTCTCAGGAAGAGTTTAAGGGCATCCTCAGCTACAGAAGAATTGCAGAGCAAACTGGGTGTGGTGGCACACGCCTTTAATCCCAGCACTGAGGAGGCAGAGGCAGGCAGAGCTCTGTGAGAACAGCCTGGTCTACAGAATGAGTTCTAGGATAGCCTAGGCTATGACATCCTGTCTCAAGAAATGAAAATAAAAAGCCTGTTTCTCCACAACTCTCTCAAAGTCACCTGTGTGCTGGAGGCAGAGGCCCTAGCCCTGCTCCAGGCTCCGGCCCCTCCCACTGCAGAACCCTGCAGCCACTGTTCCCTCTGCTAGGAACTTGCTTCCCTGTCTGCCCTCAGGTCTGTTCAGAGAAAGCCCCCACAGCCCTTCTCCCTGCACCCCACCTCCAGCCCTCCCCCACCATTGTCCCTGCCTCACATCTCAAGGGCAGAGGGAGCTACCCTCAGGTCTTCTAGAACCCAGTGACTCAGGTCCAAGCCTGGCCTGGCTGTCACGGGACCTGGGGGTGGGGGCATTCCGGAGTCATCTTGGCCAGGGGAACCTCCGGTCCAGTGCCCCCTTTCAGCCTCCAGGGACCTGCCTGGGCTCTGACCACACATCCCAGCCCTGGGAAAGGCCTGACTCCAGCTAAGGGTAAAATTAGCGAGGGGGTTAAATTTAGTAAGAGAAGCTGGAGCAGGGCCTGCTGTTCTTGGATCTTTTTCTTGGATTTGACTCAGACCCAGCTTCGAGAGGGTGGAGGCTAGCCCACAGCATCTCACCTATGCTAGCCGAAGTATTCCACACTGTTGGATATGCAGGACTCCTAGGAAAATGGGGAGCCACAATCAGGCCTCAAGTTGGGGATTAGGGAGCAACTTGGATTGTTCAGTGGATCTGGACTTCTTTTTCTTTTTATGGGAGGGAAACAGAGTCTCATGTAGCCCAGGTTAGCCTCAAATTTATTGTTTAGTTGAGGCTGGCCTTGAACTCCTAATCTTCCGCCTCTACTTTTTCGGTGCTGAGATGGAAGGTGTGTGCCACCATATCTTTTTGTTTTGTTTTTTTCAGACAGAGCCCCACTATGTAGGCCTTGTAGGTCTGACTGGCTGGGAGCTCCAAAGCTCAAGAAACCCCCTGCCTCAGCCTCCGGAGTGCTAGTATCACTGGCGGGAGTGATCTCAGCTCAGAAACACAATATTTCATTTGTTTTGTTGAGGCAGCAACTCGCCCTGCAGCCCAGGCTAGCCCAGAACTCTCAGTAATCCTGCTGCCTCGGCCTCTGGAGTGCTAGGATCACAGGTGTGAACCACCCTTTGAGGCCTCCAGCTCATGTTCTTAGGAGCCAGCCAAGGGTGGCACTGGTCATGCTCTGTCTACCTGTCACCCACTCAACTCTCAAGATAGCAGGTAGAGGCTGAGGGAGAGGCATCCCCACGGGGAGATGGATGCAGGCCCGTGTGACCCTAAGGTGACCACTGACTGGAAGCCTCAGCCACTTGTGAGGCAAGAGCGGTTGTAGGCCCCCTAGTCTGCAGAGGGGACTGTCCCCAACGGGGTGAGGGCCCCTGTGTCTGTCTCGGCCTCCCTGTGGGAAACAGATACCTTTGTATTGTGAAAGGGTTCTAGATCCCCAACACAGTGGCCTGCTTTCGCTACAGTGAGTTTGAGGCCAGCCTGGCCTATAGAGACCCTGTCTCCTAAAAAGAAAAAAAAAAAAAAAAAAGAAAGAAAGAGAAAAAAAAGGCTCAGATCAGATCATCTGAGAATGGCCAGTTACTTCTCTGTCTCTAAGTCATGTGTCCCAGGCCCAGCCTTCAGCCCCCTGGTCAGGGTCTTTGGGAGCCCAGGCTTGTAGGCAGGATGTAGTGCCCTAGACCCCTAGCTCTCTTCTTTCCTGTGTGTGTGTGTGTGTGTGTGTGTGTGTGTGTGTGTGTGTGTACTGTGTGTACTGTGTGTACTGTGTGTATCTGTATGTGTGTGTATGTGTACTGTGTGTGTATATGTGTACTGTGTGTATCTGTGTGTGTGTGTGTATGTGTACTGTGGGTGTATGTGTGTGTATATGTGTACTGTGTGTGTATGTATATGTGTACTGTGTGTGTATGTGTGTGTATATGTGTACTGTGTCTATCTGTGTGTGTGTGTGTGTGTGTGTGTGTGTGTGTGTGTGTGTGTGTGTGCAGAGGGTACTAGGTGCCCTGATCTCACTTCCCACATTATTCTTTTCAGACAGGGTCTCTCACTGAACCTTGCTCATGACCACCAAGCCCCGGGACTCCTCCTGTGCCCCCCATTCTCAGCACTGGGGTTAGACATGGGCACCCAGACTTCATGTGGGTCCTGGGATTCAAACCCAGGTCTTCATTCTTGTGAAACCGGTGCTCTAGCCCCTCCTCCTGAGACCCCTCTTTGGGAGACATTCACTAACGTCGGCAGAGCTTGCTGCTTTGGGCAGACTGACTGGCCTGGAGCGGAGCATCTGCCTGGCTCTGCCTCCCAGTGCAAGGGCTGCAGGCCTGTGTTCTTGAGTCCTCACACTCACACGGCAAGCCCTTTACCAGCTGAGCTGTCTCCCTCGCCTCCCTCTTTTGAGACAATCCTGCAATGAAGCCCAGACTAGCCTAGAGCTCCTAGACTCCAGCAGTCCTCCTGCCTCTTTATTTAAGTTTATTTGTTTAAGTTCTCACCATAGCCCAGACTAGTCTAGAACTTCTGGAAGCCCCACTAGGGAGACTCTCCCAGGCTCTCTACCATGGAAGCCAGGAGCTGTCCAAGTCCCCATGTGAACCCTTTGGTGGAGTCCCCAGGTCTGCCAGGGTGACTTTTCCTCAAGCCCATGCAGCAAAAACACAGCAGAGCATTTTCCCTGAGGGGGATGTGGGGACCACACCTTTTCTGCTGGTACCTTGGAGGCTGAGGCAGGGGGATTTTGAGTTCTGGGCCAGCCTGGACTACTTGGCAAAACCATGTCTCAGAACACTCTCCTTCCAAGTCCCATAATGAAAATGTGAGGAGCCCCAGGCCCAGATGGTGTGTGACCCCATGTGTGGAGATGTCCAGAACAGGGAACCAACCCCACGGAGCCAGGAAGCAGAGGGAACGGGGAGGGGGGCAGGGAGCAGGAGCAACTGCTGCCTTGATGACCATGGAATATTCTGGAATTAGACTAAGGTAATGAGTACAGGAAAACACACCAAATGCCATTTAATCATGCACTTTAACATAGTGAATTTTATTCAGAATTCACTAAATTAAAGAAAAGAGCTGGGTGTGGTGGCACATGACTTTAAGCCCAGTGCTCGGGAAGCAGAAGCAGGCGGATCTCTGTGAGTTTGGGGCCAGCCTAATTTACATTACATTTCCAGACAGCCAGGGCTACATGGAGAGATCCTGTCTCAACAAAACAAAACAAAAAACAAAAACCAACAAAAAACAGGGTGGATGAGGTGGCCCAGCTGGCAGAGACACCTGCTGCCTACCCAAGGGTAGGGCCAGTGTGGTGGACAGAGGAAACTTGTCTCCACTCATCCTCCACCTGCCCCCAGTGGCAAACAGCCTCCATGTCTGCGTCCACTGCCCAGAGTGCACCCAAGTGATCCTTCCCATTTGAGTAAGTGATGTACTCCAGGCTGTCCTCCATCCAAAGCTGAGGCTGGCCTGGAACCCAGCTTCCTCCTGCTTCCGCTTCCTGGGTGCAGGGATGTGGAGGTGCATGGATCTCCATGTTGCATTGCATTTATTGAGCATGCAGTGCATCAGCTGGTGCCCAGTAGGGACTGTCTGGGTTAAGTGGCCTGCCTGCCCTCTCCTTGTCCTCATGCCTCCTCGTTGTCGGTCGGGGACAGGAAGCAGGCAGGACAGAGGCTGGTACTGTTGGCCTTGCTCCATTCACTCTCCCCCTCTGCCCTCTCCTACAGAACCGTCACTCAGAATAGCCAGGCGTGATGGGGAGGAAAAAAATCCAGATCTCACGCATTCTAGACCAAAGGAACAGGCAGGTGAGTCCGCAGGTTGCGTTGCCATTGGAGGAAGTAGCATTCTGGGCAGAGACACAGCAAGGCCAAGGCCAAATGGTCTTCAAGAGAAGTCTGAGTCCTGGGGCCAGTTTGGGGAGACTGAGACAGAAAGTGTAGGTTCTGCTTCCGGGGCCCAATCTCGGAAAAGAATTGGACACTTGGGTGGAGTTGCAGACACGCAGCGAAGTTTCCAAAGTTTCAGATGGAAACTGAATCAGAGAAGCTCGCTCTGCAATCTCTTAGGGACACCCTCCTTTAACGCCCTCATCCTACCCCCCCAACTTCGTCTCTCACCCCCGCCCCCAACTCCATCTCGCCTCTGTGGCGCAGGTGACATTCACCAAGCGCAAGTTCGGGCTGATGAAGAAGGCTTATGAGCTGAGCGTGCTTTGTGACTGCGACATCGCGCTGATTATCTTCAACAGCGCGCAGCGCCTCTTCCAGTATGCGAGCAGCGACATGGACCGGGTGCTGCTCAAATACACCGAGTACAGCGAACCGCATGAGAGCCGTACCAACGCGGATATCCTGCAGGTACCTGAAGCCACCTGCAGGCCCCGGGAGCATTCCAGCCGCGCTACATGACCTCGGTAGCTCCTGAGCTCGGGGAACTTGTTGTGGTTTCAGTCCCTGGGGTCCCCTTGGAACAGGCCACACCTGTCGCGTATCCCTCTAGGCAGACTGGCCGGGAAGGTCTCCTCTCTCAGGTACCCTAGAACCAAGTTCCAGGAGTCGGTTAAGATCCGAGGGCCCGCCCACCCTGGCATCTGCTGTTCCCACAGACACTGAAGAGGAGGGGCGTGGGCCTGGATGGGCCTGAGCTGGAGGTGGAGGAGGGGCCAGAGGGGCCTGAAGAGAAACTGCTGAGGACGCTGGGAGGCGACAGAGGCTCGGCCTCGCCCCTGCCTCGGATCTATGTAAGAGAACTTCCATGTTCCTTCTCCGAATCCCTCCGACCCCTAAACACATTTCCAATACAGATTTTGAGGTTGAAACCCAGAGAGTAGTAGAAAGGGCCGGGCGGGACAGCTGGTCTCGTCCTGGGTGGATGAGCAATCAGTCCCTGTGGAATGTGGGTTATAACTAGGTCTTTGAAAGACACGTAAGAGTTCAACAAACAAATCTTCCGGCCACAATTCCTCGGATGATCCGACACCCCATGGTTCGCAGAGAAAGGCCTGGACCCCGAACCAGGCTGATGGAGCCCACCCGGCAACCCCAGCCTTGGATCTAAGCCTGAGTGGAGAGCGCCCCCAGGGACGTCTGGGGCACGCAGGCCCTCCGCCTCATTCTCCCACATCTCTGTCCGCAGCCGGTGACCCCTGCGATGTCGGTCTCAGAACTGTCATACCGGGTCCCACTCGCCCCGCCCGGCTGCGACCCTGGCGGGCTGGGGGAGGCCCCGTCTGTCCACAGCCGCCCGCCCCACTTTCGACCCCCAGGTGAGCGCTAGGAGCAGCCAGGGTCGGGGTGTGGGGGGTGGATCCTGGGCTCTGGTCTCGCTGGTGACACTAACCTTCCCTCTCTCCCCGGGTCTCCCCTCCCCCAGGCCTGGGACACCCCATCTTCTCTCCGAGCCACCTCGCAGGCAAGACGCCCCCACCCCTGTACCTGGCGACTGATGGGCGGAGGCCAGATCTGCCAGCGGGCCTGGTTGGGGCCCGAGGGGGACTGGGCACCTCGGTGAGAGGGGGCAATGGGAGAGGATGGAGGAGGAAGAGGAGGAGGAAGGAAAGGAGGGGGAGAGAGGAAGGGAGGAGGCGGGTGGTCACACCCTGGCCACAGTGTTCCCTTTTTGCTGTCCCGACAGAGGAGCCTGTACAGCGGCCTGCAGAGCCCCGGCGCCGCCCCGGGCTCCGCTCTGGGTAGCTTTGCCTTCCTGCCACCAGGTTCCGCAGGTGCGCCCACCCTGTCTGACTTACCTGCCCGGTGGGGTCCCTCGTCCCAGCCCTGAGCCCGGGCGTGGGGAGGGCCGGGATTCGGACAGGAGCCCGACTCAGCCAGCCTCTCCCGGCAGATTGCAGCCCCGGAGACGCCGCTCCGCTCCCCCTGCAGCCCTCGCCCTGGCCCCCGGCGAGGGACGCGGTGGACCCGGCCAGGCCAGGGTGAGTTGGGCGCCCCCTGGCCGTCGGGAGACTTAGAGGGGACCCACAGAACCCCATGACCGGTAAGATTTCTTATCTACCTGTAGGTCTCTCTGACCTTCCTTGCCCCTCTCTCCAGCAGCGCCCGCAGCCTGTGTGAGGAAGGTCCCCCCAGCCGAGTGGCCACCCCTCCGACGCCCCCGGTCAGCATCAAGTCCGAGCGTCTGTCCCCCACCACTGGGGCCTCTGGCGACTTCCCCAGGCCCTTCCCCTACCCCCTGCTCCTCGCCAGGCCCCTGGCGGAGCCACTGCGTCCCGCAGCCTCCCTGCGCCGCTTGACCCCCGACGGCTGGCCGCGGTAGCGTGCAGAAGGCTCTCCAGCCTCCACAGAGATCCCCGCAGTTTCGGGTTCCCTGCACATAACCCTTCCTGGGGCTGCTGCATCAATAAAGTCCACGGCTCCGGGAGAGCGCTGGGCAGCCCCCTGCCCCCAGAGCCTCCCGAGCCTGGGGTATCCACACCCAGCCTCTCCAAAGGCCTCCTTTATGCCTACACTGATTTTGGGGTGCACGTCGTAGATACGGATTACAAGAGGAGCAGGGCCAGGTGGAAGGTGGGGATGTGACCTGAGAAGGAGCCACAGGGGATGCCACCAAGGGCAAGCCCAGGAGCTGCTCCAGGGGGTGTGAGTCTGATAGGAGTCCACAGCTGTGCCACCGTGGCCGGTGCCAGTGGAAGTGAGAGTGAGTTGCCTATGGTGACCAGGTGTTCTAGGCCAGCCTGAGACAAAAAAAGACACTGCTTAAAAAAGTAAACAGGAGGCCACCCAAAATGGCTCAGGCGTAAGGGCACTCGCTGCCCGTCTTGTCGACCTGAGTTCTATGGTGGAAGGAAAGAACCAGCCGCCTGCAGGTTGTCCACTGACCTCCTCACGCAGGCGCCGGCGCACACACAGCACTCACAAGCTGAATGAATAAATACGTAAGTGGGGAGAGGGAGGGAAAAGGTTCAGTGGTAAGAGAGCCTGCTGTGCAAGCATTAGGGTCTGAGTTCGAATCTCCAGCACCCATATAAAAAGCCGGATGTGGTCAGGGTGCCGGTGAGGTGGAGACAGGATGGCTGGGGCTTAGTGGCAGAAGATGGAAGGTGATGGAGAAGATACTCGACCCCACCCCCTTTCACAGACCCCACCCCCTTCTCGGCCTCCGGGGCTGTGACACACGACACCACCCGCTTCTTGACTGTATTGACACCATCGCACAAGTAGACAGACATAAAATATGTAAAAACAATTCAGTGGGGGAAGCAGGGCTCTGGTTGCAGCCTTCCTCCTTCACGTGTCCTGAGCTGAGAGATGGCTCAGAGGACACCATGATGGCCCAGCCCCCAGCGCTCTGGCAACAAGCCTGTGCCCTGCACATACCATTAACCCCAGCTCTGGCGGAGGCTCGCTGGCTGTTAATCTAGCCTAGAAAACTGCGCCTCACCTTCAGAGTCCCTGCCTCAAAGGGGACACCTAATGTCCTCACGGCTTTTTCGAAGGGACAGGGAAGTATACCCTGGAACTCACACACATGCACCTATATGAATAGTGCACACACACAACTTTTAGTTTCTAAAGGGGGTCATCCCCTAGGGCAGGCGAGATGGCTCATCCAGTGGGCAAAGGTGCTTGCCACTCTGAGTTCAGTTCCCAGAGGAAACACACATGGTGCAAAGAGACAATGACCCTTTCCCAGGGGTCACCTAAGATATCAGAAAACATGGATATTTACATTACGATTCATAACAGCAAAATTACAGATATGAAGTAGCAATGAAAATCATTTTATGGTGGGGGTCAGCACAACATGAGCAAAGTATTAAGAGTCGCAGCACTAGGAAGGTTGAGAACCACTGACGTAAGTCAATGTAAAAACAAGATTTTAAAAAAGGTGCCTAGGCTCAGCCCTCCCTTTCCACCAAGCCTCATGGTCTACCAGTGACACTGTGTCCTGGAGCAGGAGGGAGGAAGGTTGCCCCAGCCTTGGATGGCACTGGCAGGGTCTCCCAGACCTTCTGTGATCTTCTGCCCTGCCCTTCCTGGCTCTGCCCTCCCCCAGCTTGGTGCCTGGGACATCACTGGGGCAGGAGGCAGGGGGTTGGCTAACTGCCCTAGGCCACTCAGGTCTAGACACTGAAACAGAATCAAGGAGCACCGGCTGCACATGAGCAAGATGAAGCCTGGTTGTGAAGCCCAAAGGGACCCAGGAGAGGCCACCAGGTTCTAGAAAGATTCTCAGGGCTTCCATAGTCCAGACCTTGAGCCAGGAGGGGATAGGGAGGTTTTAAGAAATAAATAGGCCCGAGAGGCCTGGAGTAGAGTCCTAAGCCTTTAATTCCAGCACTCGGGATGCAAAGGAGGAGGATTTCTGAGTTAGAGGGCAGCCTACTATTCATTGAGATTTCCAGGCTAGCCAGAACTACATAGTGAAATCATGTCTGAAAAAGACAGTACACCAGACCGGTCCGGGTCAGACCAGACCAGGAACCTGGAGACTGGAGCTGATGCAGAGACCACGGAGAAGCAACTTGCTTGCTTTTTTTTTTTTTTATTTTTCGAGACAGGGTTTCTCTGTGTAGTTTTTGTGCCTGTCCTGGATCTCGCTCTGTAGACCAGGCTGGCCTTGAACTCACAGAGATCTGCCTGGCTCTGCCTCCCGAGTGCTGAGATTAAAGGCGTGTGCCACTGCTGCCCATCAGCCTGCTTTCTTATAGAACCCAAGACCACCAGCCTAGGGATGACATCACTCACAATGGGCTGGACCTTCCCCCATCAATCACTAATTTAAAAAATGCCCTACAGGCTTGCCTACAGCCTGGTCTTATGGAGGCGTCTTCTCAGTTGAAGTTTCCTTCTCTCAGGTGACTTTAGCTTGTGTCAACACTAACCTAAAACTCCAGCACACTGGACCAGACTACACCAGACCATATGAGACCCAGATGGCTCAGAGAACAAAGTAGCTGTGCCTAGAGCATGATGACATGAGTCTGAATCACATACTCACAAAAAGGCCAGGCATTGCATGTCTGTAGCTCCAGCAGTGGGAAGCAGAGATGCCCACCCTCTCTCAATGGGACAGTCTGACTCCAGAGGACCAAAGTCACTGTGAATTGCCTCACACAGACATCCACCTGGATTCATAAACAATGACAGGATCACCCACAGAGGCAACACAGTCAACTGTGTGGACTTCTTGCCCATGGGCATGTACCCCCAGTCGTGTCCATCACACTCAGGAGCCCTCCCTCCAAGCTACCTGGGAAATGCCGTAGGGTCCCGAGGTCCACACTGAGTTCTTTTTTTTTTAAAGATTTATTTATTTACTATGTATACAGCATATGTGACTGCAGGCCAGAAGAGGGCACCAGATCTCACTACAGGTGGTTGTGAGCCACCATGTGGTTGCTGGGAATTGAACTCAGGACCTCTGGAAGAGCAGTCAGTGCTCTTAACCTCTTATCCATCTCTCCAGCCCCACACTGAGTTCTTAATCAAGCTATGTCTGAAGCCAAGGTTGTTGCATGTGATGATGGCTTTTGTTTTTTGTGAAACAAAACAGGGTCTCCTTATAGAACCTGGGACCACCAGCTTGTGCTGGTCTCAAATTCACAAACCTCCAGCCTCAGCCTCCCAAATGCTGGATTACAGGTGTGCAACACTACATCACCTTGTGTATTGGCTTGCTCTAGCATTTTCTATTTCATGAGCCAAAATTTTCCCATTGTTGTTTGAGCTGTTTGGAATTTGTGTTTTAAGATTTATGTTGTGAGCCATTGCCTCATAATGTGTCCCTGACGGGCCTGGATGTCATGAAGACCAGGCTAGCTCCAAATGCACAAAAACGGGCCTGCTCTGTCTTGCTAGTACAGGACTTAAAGAGGTGAGCCACCAAGCCCATGCGACACCCCCTTTGTAAACATTTCTAACTAGTATTGTGTCTGTGCATAATGTATGTTTGAGTGCTGTAGAGGTCAGAGGTCAGCTTGCAGGAGTTGGTTCTTTCCTTCCATCATGGTTGTGCCGGGGTTGGAACTCAGGCCCTTTGACCAGCTTGGACTTAAAACATCCTCCTGCCTCAGCTCTCCAAGTGAGTAGACAACCATGTGATCTACCACACCTGATGGCTAGTGAGAAGAGTGCCTTAGGGAAGGCAGCCAGGTGTCCAGGCCGGTTCTGAATTGGGGTGGTGGTGGAGTGAGCTGGGGAGGTCACTCACACAGTACAAGGCTTGTCTGTGCACATCTAAGCTTCGTCCCCAGCAATGAGAAAACTGACCCAGTACACACGTCTGTCACTTGAGGCAGGAGGACCAGAACTTCAAGGTCATCCTTGGTCACATAACGTAGAACGAAGTTCAGACCCCATCTAAAAACAAATAGGCCAACAAGACCACTGAGTATGTTAAGGCCTTTCCTGTGAAGCCAGATTACCTGAGTTAGATCCCCTGAGGCCCACATGATAGAAGGAGAGTACTGACTCCAGCAAGTTGTCCTCTGTCCTACACACACACACACACACACACACACACACACACACACACACACACACAAATAAATGCAATAAAAAACAAAAAACGAGCCGGGTGTACTGTCACACCCTTTAATCCCAGCACTCGGGAGGCAGAGGCAGGCAGACCTCTGTGAGTCTGAGGCCAGTCTGAAGGAAATCCCCCACCCACAGTGGGGGCTTCCTCCTGGACCCCGAATTAGATAACACCCAAACACCTGTTTTCATAGAGAGATTCTTTATTAAGCAGGGAAGAAAAGTTAAAGTGGCTGCTTCCGACTCAGGCAGAGAACAGCAGCAAATGACCTTGCGGATGTAGTTTTTTTTTTTTTATTTTTTTTTTTATTTTTTTGGTTTTTCGAGACAGGGTTTCTCTGTGTAGCTTTGCGCCTTTCCTGGAACTCACTTGGTAGCCCAGGCTGGCCTTGAACTCACAGAGATCCGCCTGGCTCTGCCTCCCGAGTGCTGGGATTAAAGGCGTGCGCCACCACCGCCCGGCTTTACGGATGTAGTTTTTGAGAGGAGACGAAGGGGAGGTCTGTGATAGAATGGGCTAGGAGGAGACGGTGATGAGGGAGAAGGGGAGGGGGAAAGGGAGACGGGGAAGGGGTGTTGGTTCCAGAAGGACCAAGGACTGCCTCTGGATAGAAGGGAGACAGATGTGGTGCATAGGCAAATGACAGTTTATAAAGGTAAAGGGGGAAACCCCACGATAGGATGAGGTGTTTAATTTTAATTGGGGATGCTAATTAGGTGAGCCAAAGGGGGCCTTTGATAGCTGGACATTGGCAGTCAGCCTCAGGAGGAGGAAATGGCCAGATAAGGGAACAGACCTTGGTGGCTAGCTTTAGGAATGTAATCTAATGGTTTTTAAGAAGTCAGAGGATTCGGGGAGAAGGGCAAGGTCTGCCAGAGCCCATGCTCACTGCACTCAAGCTGGCCAGAGTCTTTCACAGCCTGGTCTACAGATC